TTGATGAAGGCCCAACAACACTTGGTTGCAACGGTTTCCATGCGACACGATGCACATCTAATGACAGACGGACAACGTAGCATAAGACAAGTACTGAACAAGTCGGTAACAAGCTGACTGGAATTTCCAAGTGAAGCCATCACTGTTCTGGTAGTGAGCCACAGTTACTAACCCGAACACTTTTGGAATGACGGATAGAAGTAAAATTTTACGAAGTGATCGCCTTGTACGTTTATTTGAATTTGGAACGCACAAAAACTTGTGATTCGTTGGGTTTGTGTTTTGACGCGGAGAATGGGGGTTTGAGAGAACAGCTGAGGTTAGGGCAGGATGGAGTCGAAAATGTGGGTTCACAACTCAAGGTGGTAATGATTTCGCAATGTTTTGTTGCATGAGGTGTTTCATCACAATGGAGATGAGTGCAATTTATACAAATCGATAAAGAAGCTCAGACGGCATTGGTGTTGATTCAAGACCGATTGAGAATTATGGGGAGTGTGAAGAGGAGATAAGGTGACATGCTTACACAGGCTGCGTGATTAGACACATGATGTGGTAGATGCCTCTTCTGTTAAAAAAAATGGCAAGGTGGCTTTTGATTTGGCGGCACATATGGTGGATAGAAAATCGAACAATCACAATCTGGACGACGGGATGATGAAAATGAAGATAGTTTTGTATGGGTGTTTGTTTGTTTGTTTGTGTGTGTGGGGGGATGGTTATTGTTGCTGTTTGCATCTTTACACAGGTAGAGGAAAACACGAGGAAAACCAACAAAAACATGAAGACAGTAATAACATTCGCTGCTTGACTGTCTCACGTAGTTGAAGGACAGTGGACTCCGGCTGTACGAAAACGGATTGGGAAATTTTTTGGAACATGTACAACGGGGAAGGTGGGTTTCCAAGTGTAGCCGAACAAACGAACCATGGCATCTATGGCCAATTTCTCCTCTCAAATACAGTTGTTCATTGCATTTTTAGTTTAGGTTATTGTTTACAAAAATAGTCGTAACGTTGATTTGAAATGGGCGGGGTTGGCGGTTTTCGTATGTTTATTCTGTTCTATCCTTCTCGTGAACTGCCTGAGTTCAGTGACGCTCAAGAGGAGATAAGGTGGGGGCTGGGCTATAATATATGTGAGAACGTGTTCTTTGTGAGCGGATGAAAAAGACGGCACCTATCTTGTTGGATCATCTCACAGGAGCGCCTCATAATTACGCCATTCGTCAAGAGAAACCAATGGCTAGTACGTGGAAGGGAAAGGTAAAAATAGCATTTGGGGATGGGGAAATAGAAGTAAGAGCAAAGGTTAGGTTGGGTTTTACCGCAGTGGAGGTCTGTGAGTACGTGAAGAAGAGAAAAAGACATCACAAATACACAAAATAAGCAAAAGAAAAATAAGGAAGGATAAAACGAAGGTTGTTGAAGAAAAAATGTCATACAATTGCCGGAGTGGCTTCTAAAACAGGAGTAAGTCTTTTGTTGATGTTGCTCAAAATTAGCGGCAGCTCGTATTTATCATGTGTGCACAGCATCGTTTTCGACCGTGTGAATTTATATTTTGCTTGCCTGCCGAGGTGAACGAAAAACGCGACTAGAGAAAACGTCAAAAATCACATGTCTCCAAACTCCTTTTCAAATAAAAAGCGGATAGAGAAGGTGAGCACAGTGAAATTCATGCTGAATATACATGTATAAATATACGTGACAGTAAATGGACACGCATAACAAATGTACGGCTCATGGTCCCGTTAAATAAACAAGGCTGTGTTCGATCCAGGCCCATTCTGTCCCAAGGATCTCCATAGATAAGAATACTGAGCTGACTCAAATCTTGGGTTTGTCCTGGAGAAGCACAGCTTTCGGGTGGAACAAGGCGAAATAAGAATAGAACCACACAGATCGGATCAGCTGAGCAAGGTAAAAATTAGTTTGATTCATATCACGCGTGTGGGGGTTTGGAGTCGGTTGAACGAGGATGTGGGGGGAGAGGGATAGCACGTTCAAAGAGCCAGCAATATAAGAGAATGAAAAAGGCAAACGGCGCACAAATGGAAGACCACAGACGAAATAGGAAACCATAAAACTGAAAAGAACGTCCGAGAAAGACAGAAACACACCAACGTGCATGGTATATAACACGACAGTCGAAGGGGATGGGATTGGAACATATACGTATACGAGAGGCGTGGATTAAAATACGGCAAATAAATGAAAAAGAAAACATCACGATGGCTACACACAGGATACTTAGGACAACAGGTAGTGACGAGTAGCGGCAATAGTAGCAGTGTAACATGCAATCTCAGGAAATACATAATTCAGATCAATGACTGACTGAGAGATAGGCCCCAGTTATGGCGCTTAATATCGAATGAGGATTGAGACGAACACGGCTGTTATTTTCCGGAGCGTTTATACGTGTTTCAGGTTGAGAACTGGTAGCTACAAATGTTCTTTAGGCTTAAATATTCGAATGTACACCTCGGTTGACGCACAGACGGTTTCCTCCATCGCACGCCGTCCACCTCTTTCTCCCGCTCTCTCATGTCATTGAAATCATGTTGGTGTAGGGGGGTAGCAGAGCGGGTGGCGGTAGGAACACCGACAGCGGTTGTGACAACGGGCACTCACCTGGCGACAGATAATACCCAGGTAGATAGGCGTAGGTGGCGCTAGGTTGTCGGGCTGTGACTGGCGACGTGGCTGTGAGAGTGTAGGTCGCGGCCGCTGCAGCTGCACCGTTCAGAGAAACGGGCAAAAACGAAGCTGAAACAAAAAAAGAGCTAACGTGAGTGGATCACTGGTAGTCCATAAAACAATAAACGTCAGGTAGCTGTGCAAACGAAAATGAAATGAGTGTAATCATTTTGGCTCATCTTGAATTCGTGTTGACGAATTCTCATGGTTTGATATCGTTTGCTAACACGTAACAGATAGAAAGTCCAGAGGTCATGCGCACTGTGCTCTTAGATAAGACATTGTTGGGTCAGAGACTGAGAGAACGGTGACTTGGAAGTACCGGAAATGACAAGTGGCGCACACGAATAGACAAAAGGTCAAACAATGAATTAATCCAGTTACTCTCAGTGAAGTACATGCACAGCGTTTCTGTTTGTTATAAGCAATCTACTACAAAGTGTGTTCACACATAGACAAGAGAAGGATACTCTCAGGTTCTAACCGAGGGTGTAAGTCAGAAGCATCGAGTGAAAAGGCTAATATTGTTGGATTTCATTCACCGGAGTGTTTTGGACACACTGTTTTACTCCACGCAAAGTATGACGGTGAATGTGACTTTCTGAGCCGATGTGGTTAGCCGAAGGTACTCGAGAAAAAACTCGTGCAAAAACTGGGAAGATTTTGCATCCGGATAGACTCCATGTGAAAAGACGGTACAACACATCAAAAACAACATTTCTTGGTGACGTTGTGGCTGCTAGTTGAGAAGTTTCTGCAACACAAGACAAACGACACCACGGTTGTGAGAACCTTCCGCCAGGAAGTACCGTCCTTTCTTTCCGTATTAGCGTGATATATATATATATATATATATATATATATATATATATATATATATATATATATATATATATATATATATATATATATATATATATATATATATATATATATATATATATATATATATATATATATATATATATATATATATATATATATATATATATATATATATATATATATATATATATATATATATATATATATATATATATATATATATATATATATATATATATATATATATATATATATATATATATATATATATATATATATATATATATATATATATATATATATATATATATATATATATATATATATATATATATATATATATATATATATATATATATATATATATATATATATATATATATATATATATATATATATATATATATATATATATATATATATATATATATATATATATATATATATATATATATATATATATATATATATATATATATATATATATATATATATATATATATAAAGATTAGTACGTTCGCATAAGCATAAGTTCTGTCTCCAACAGAGCAGCTAAACCACAAAACATCTCTTCATTTCCGTTTGAACAGGTACAACGCAGAGCGCTTTCAACTAAGCTGAGCCGACATCATTCTGCTTTCAACAGGGATGACGTGTTTACCGTCTAGAATAAATAAGAAATACTCGACCTCAGTTTGATCCTTTTTCAGACATGGTATTAACGCGTAAACGGGATGTGAGCCCATAAGTGGGCGAGTTTGTTCGACTCTGTGGCGCGTGCGTAAGGCAACTGTGAATGATCCCGTATGAAGAGATTTGCCTACTCTAGCTTAAATGGTTTCTAAAAAATCCACGACCAACCAGAATAGAGTAGGTCGAGGCATGAGGAGAATTTAAAAGTGACGCAATTCCAACAAGTTAAACCATTGCTTACAACAAGATACTAAGCCAATTGTACCCAAACAATGTTGGCTACGCCTACAGGACGACCAAGAAGTTAGTGTGATTTTGGAAAGTATTTCACCATTTGTTTTTTGCATCCATTGATGACCATCCATTGATGGCCAACATCAGTTAAATTGAGTTACAGTACAACGGTTTCCACTTCCTGTCTCGATCGATTAATTTTACTCATGCCACTTGGATAGAATCATTCTAACTGGGACCGGCGGTCTTATCGCACCCAAACACAAATGCAATTACCAGGATATCGAAAACATCAACCGAGTCGTTTCATTCCACTTTGTGACCTGGGAACATCTGCCTTTGGGCTAGTATGAGGATCGGGCTAAATTCAACAGAACTCGGTGGCGTTACATCATAGTGCAGTGGCGATGACTGCAACGGCTGTCTTAGCCCAACAATGGCAAATCACAGAATTGCGGTGACATCCCCTGTGACAGTTCAGTTCAGGAATAAGTTCCCAGTGTGGTTCTGGGATAGTTGTTTCGGTGTCTGTTTCAGCGGGACCAAACAATCTGCTTTCCTAGTTCATGGGCGCTTTCGGAGGGTGTGTAGTGTGTTGCCACTGCATCCAATTTGACTCCATGGTAATTTCTCCAGTGATTTACCAACTCCGTCTATGTACTTTTGACCTAATTTAAACATACACGTCATCCACCCTGCCGAAAAGGCCGTCCTGTCCGACGCTAGTATACTGGCATGTGTGTATAGATGTGCGCAGCTGACCTACTTACGCATGCGTGTTCGTGCCTCGTTTACTGAACCAGTCCTGACTTGTTCTATCACGATTTCCGTGTGATCGTAAGGCAAATCAGAACACAAGACCAGTGTCGGGAGGGATGACCGCAACCAACATCACTGAACCAACACCCTCCTCCCAGTTGTTTGGTTTGTGGACCTTGACGCTGGTCCCGGTCGGTGACAAACTTATGCACTTGTTGGCGCCATGAACGTGGCTTGTTGCAAATAGTATCGTGTACTTTCGAACCCAATTCTTCCTTTTGATATTCGGGATCGTCAGACCTACGCGCCACTAAAGGTATCAGAAACCTTAACAGTTGGTTTCCTTTACTCCCTACCACTGTATGGTTACGCAGACCCAGTACACCTTGGCACTACAGAAATTGGTGGCCAGCACCTGAACACTTCGAGTGGATTCCCCTGTCGCTGCCCCAATAACACCGAAAGACTCCATAATAAGGGACACTGCATTAAGGAAGACCCGTAAATTCCATATTGGTGTGGGATCTAACCTAACCTCATCATAACTCCCCCATTGGTGTGTTCGCTTCGTCTATGTACTTGTAACCACTTGCTTTGCTCATTTGTACCCGCCACTCATCTTACCGCGAAGGCCGTCCCGTCCGACACCAGTGTATTGGCATGTGCGTCTGTGTGTGAATATACGCAGGCACTCAGCCATGCACGTTCGTGTCCGGTTTGCTGAGCCTGCCTTACCTCATGGGTTCCGTGTGAACGCACCGCCAATCAGACGACAGTAACGTAAACTGCTGAGACAACATTCCGCCCACAACTGGCCTGCGGCGTTTGCCTTGCACTGTGATGTTCAGTGACACGTACGTGGACACTTGGGGTTTGTTGTGCAAATTTGCTTACCATTGTGTAAACAGTATCTTAGAATTTCTAACCCAATTCTTCCTTTCGATATCCGGAATTGGCGAACCTAGGCGTCACTCAACAACTAACTTATTGTTTGTTTTCTCACAGGAATTGAAGACAAACCGATTGACCGGGGCGATGAAAATAAGACAGCTCTGTTAGACTGAGGAGACCCTCTCGAGGCTATACTGCGGTGCAAGGTGGCATTTCCTACCTCTCATCTGTCTGTTATTTATTCGGGTCCGCGAACTTCCTAGCGCACCTGCGAAGTTTGCATTTTAACAAGACGTATAAAGTGGACCATGGGACAAGTACTAGTCATAATTTAAATCAAGCCACTGTTCCACGTCAGTGTTGTCGGGTGATGAAATCGGGAATAGTTTACGTGACCGTCATACGTACTTCTGACTGAGTGGTGAGTCAGTTCTTCAGTGTGATTAAGCGATTGTTCATTTGATTTCGGTCCAATAACTGTGGGATCACAGTTCAATAGCACTTCATTCCCGCGAATTCAGTAGAGACTCCTGGATAAGTTGGGGTCACGGACACACGCTCTGAGCTTCATTAACCGCACGTAAATATCGGAGAAGTTATGCTACGACAACTTCATTCCCAGCACTATTCTCTATCCTACCCATTTTTAGGATAACGTGTAATCAATCTTCGTTCACAGGCAACCTGAAACCAGTTAATAAATTGTGAGTATACCCGCAGTCATGCATTGGAATTGCTATCAGGATGCCGTTTGACACTCGATGTAAATGAAAACGCCACAAGAAAACACGACGACTGCACACACACACACACACACACACACACACTCACGCACTCACACGCACACAAGGCAACACAATTGCAGACACGCTGACACGAAGGGCAGAGCGGCGAAGGAACGGCAAATCACGTGCAAGGCAGTCGGGATCAAAATTCGAAATACAATGCATGCAAGCTCCATTAATTTGATGCTCACACGCACACAAGGCAACACAATTGCAGACACGCTGACACGAAGGGCAGAGCGGCGAAGGAACGGCAAATCACGTGCAAGGCAGTCGGGATCAAAATTCGAAATACAATGCATGCAAGCTCCATTAATTTGACACCGTAAATTAGGTTTTATAGGAAACAGTTCCTGTGATCGAGGAAGGGCAGTTAAATGCACAACTGTGTGAGGGTGTGAACGTAAGCTTAGCCACCAGAGGCGCTGCGAACTGGGACTGGGAGATTAGACAGATAGCGCACTCACTCAAAGTTTTTGCCAGTACGCCATCCATTGCTCATTGAGAACGGAGGCTTGCGTTCCCGTTTTTCCCGCTACTGAGAAGCGTTTAATCAACCATCCACCGTACCACATGCTTTGAAATCACGCTAACCGTAAAATTTACTTGGTTACTCCCATTGACTTCGATGGGACATGATCAGTGGCAAACAATAACCCCAGTTTCCTAAGCACATGGGTGATATCGGTGCTGTAAGCACAGCTAGGAAAACTAAATTTCGAGGCCAGGTTGAGTAAGGTGGCTCGTGACTAACTGGAAGTGTCGTATGAGGCATTCTAAAACCCGTAGTTATGTGCGAAGCACACATGAGAGTTTACCTAAATCACAACTATGTGATACGTGGAATGACATTACTGGACACTTATAGTTTGGAGTCCAACTAGACACAGTAACTAACTGCAATATAGATCCCAGCACCTGATGCTACAATTGGATAGCATATGGCTTCTATAGACACAGGTTGCATACCAGCGTTCCGGCTCTTTGTACATCATCGAAGCTGGGTGGCTTAGTATACTCTGAGACCATTCCGATAGACATCAGGGTAGTTGAATCCGATTTCTTTGAACGAAACTTGAGGCGAGGCGCGCTGATGAAATATAACAAAGAATACTCCCTCACAAGTGAAAAGAATGACAGGCGCTCGGTTATTCGGTCAAATTTCTGCATAAAATGTGAGCATGACCCACTTAGCAGACGCGAAGTCACAGCGCACTCACAGAAATAGGATAGCTCACTTGAGTAAAGCGGATTGATGAGGTAAACAGTATGGGATAGGACTAAACCCTATTCTAGGTGGCGTTCCATCGAGTCATCATAATGAGGATGAAGGGTATGATGTAACGGACGATAGTTGCCATCGGTTGTTGCAAGTACTGGTGAACTGCTTTGCCTCGCTAACTGCATCTGGGTTCAAGAGGTTCTTAAGCAAATAGTGGTGCCTCCGCCATTTCAGGGAGTGAATCATGGTGCTTCCAAGGCGTGATAAGATGATTGTGCACCTGCAAGCTTCCGAACCTCTCCTCACAACATTGTTGTACGTTGTGCGTTGATTGTACAAGTTACAATGCTAATTTCCTTACGCTCTGCTTCTTGAGTCACACCCCCCCAAACAGTGACGTTGTCAGTATTTCGGTATAGATAATCGTTAAGTGCGGATTTTTGTCGAAAATAATGAAACCGTAGCCGATTATAGAAACCGAGAAAAATCGTAGTGCGGGGATCAGAGACGACGCGTCAGAATCCTGTTCAAAATCTATTCCATTCTGAGCTTCTTTAAATGCAGGCTGCAGAAAAAGTGGGGAGCGAAAGTGACTGAAACCGTACGGTCGATGAGCCGAATCCGTTTTGATTTCATTGAAATTCTTATTTATTTCGACCGGGATTTTATCCCTTGTCATGACAGATTTTGGGGGATCGGCGCAAAGTAAAACCACCAAAAAACGAAAGTGCGTGTTCAGTAAAATGTTACCCGATAAAAAAAAACACAGTTGTCAGAAGGAGGCAAAAATATTGCTTGTGGTTAGATTCAAGTTTGCTTGCAGGGCTGATTTCTAAATCACCACACGCACACTGACACACAGACACACACTCGTCAACGGACAAACAGTTGCTCACCGCTTTCACCCTCATGGGTCGTTAGGCATGCAAGCTGACTGGATATATCTAGATTTGAGTCGAGCAGGCTGACTGGGATGACTATGGATATGAAGTGAATAGAGAGAGAGAGGGAAGAAAAGAAAGAAAAACCAAGTAGGAGACACAAACAAATAGGGTTCGTAGTGAGACAACAACAAATTGGTGTTTTGTTAAGGAAAGTCTATGAGGCAATAGGCGGTATATGGTATATGGGACCGTTAACGTTACATTACAACTCACGTAATTGTGGTCGGAGGAAAGGGCTTCGCTGTTTGAGCAGCGAATTGCTAGAGCTCATCACCTCTTTGGGGACCGCTTTCTTCGCCTCAACCTAAAACAAGGATGAAATTCCAGAATCAGACAGTACAAAGGTATAAATTCGACTGACTCGTCTGGTAGGGACCGTGCAAGCATTCATGTGCGACAGTATATATATTGACCAATCAAAAAAACGTGGACACTCATGCCCAACAAGTGAGTGTAGATCTCTCAGCTGATCAGTAAGCTAAGGCAGTGCCAGAGGGATTCATTAGTCAGTGAAGTGGCCGAACGCATGAACCGAGTTCCAAGAAAATCGATTCACCCACTAACCAAACTCAAGTGATTGACTGGCTCAAAAACTGTCACATGACAGAGGCAAACGAACAGCACCATGTGACCACCAGTACCTCCAAAGGGTAAGGGGCTCATCGGATCAGTTGAACCATTGATAAGCTCCAAACCGTAGTCCGCTGATGTAGTGAGGTAAGGTGGGCTGGCGGATGTGCCAGCCGAATCTGGGCTCCGTCACCTGATTTTTCCCTACTTCTTTTAAGGAATGAATGAATATCGTTGTGCAGGTTATTTCGTCGTTTTGGATTGCTATTTGGAAGACAGCCGTAAACTATAAGCCCGACAGGCGAAAGCACAAGAAAACACATCTCATAGTAACACATTGTCATTCACAACAATAGTATGACTTTATAACATGAAAATAAATCGTGGTCATTGAGTATAAAATTCCTGGTTGTAAGGATCAGCATATTTCCAGATATTCGAAGTCAAATTTTATGATTTCCACACTGTCTTATTGCATGAAGTAACATAAATGGACTAACTAAGGGAGTCGACTAAAGTAAGAGAGATACATTGCAGTGTTCTCTTAACCCCATCGCGTTCTACACTCATGAGTTGCACGTGAGCTTGCCGGGACTATATCCCGCAACTTGTGATAGTCTATCTGCTCACAAATGTTATTACCGGTGTTTCCTCGCTTTATGGGGAAGTCGTTTTTAACTTGGCTTGTGGCTAAATTCGATTTGAACACGCGCACTTTCTGGCTTGTAGGCAGTTAAGCCAAGCCGAATATCGGCTGTGTTTGAAGTCGATCACAGGCTTTCGTGCCGGAATGGAATGGGAGCAGTCAACTATGGTGCCTTCAACCGTTCATGCTGAAAAAGGCCAGTATGCTAACGACTGAGTGTTGCCGTGCTCTGTTGCGAGTGTGGTAGCAACGTCGAGGCTGCTGTCAGGTCGGTACGTATGGAGACTGTGGTATAAAGTCCAGGGGACTGGGAGCGTACGCGATACAAAGACCAGCAGCCCATGATCGGTTCGTTCTGCTTGGGACTAATCAGGCAGGCACAATCCCTGAGGAAGAACACCATAAACGAGGGATTTAGCTGGGTTTCAGATGAGTCTCTCGTGAAAACCAAATTAGTATGCAAATGAGCGTATTCGTCGGACCAGGTCGGTTATTCCCAACTTACTCCCCTGTCTATGGACAGATTTTGTCTATTTCTCACATATGCAATGGCCTGATTCGCGAATGAGAAAATATTGGTGGCATAGGTTGTAATGGCGACCGCTGATTTGTTCACCGAGCCACACAACTCGATGGTAAACGCTTCATCACCAGTTCAGGTAACATCCTCAGTGCGTTTTGTGTGATGTCATCTCAAATGGCGATGTCACCTTTACAACCTAATTGCCCAGTTCAACGGAAAAATCCGTCGATAAGGTCGTGTCAGTTTCGAATATCATACATCAAAACGCATTTTTCAGGGGAAAAAAATTGCTATCTGCTCCTCATCTGGTGATCCATCTGGGTCCATCTTCATTCCAGCGTGGACAACCAAACTAGAAGTAGTGTCCTCAAAAATCCTAACAGATTTGCAAGGGCGCAACGTGAATTCAGGAATGGAATATTTCACCTCGGATCAAATGAGAGCCGGAATACCATAATCGAAATCAACCTGAAAGTGATCTGGGTGTACGAACTATTATAGTAAACCGTATTTGTACTGGGGTTTTCCAAAGAGTCCTTTAGGTTCCTATGGATGAAACGATAATTGAACTTATAAGCAAGACTCGAACCAGTAGCTATTCGAAGGCTTAAGCGAGGATGAAGTCGAATGTGAGTCGCTCAAATACAAATTGGGCTACTTTAATACTATAGTCCTGAGAACGTTTCCACTCCGTTAAAGGGATGCTGAAGGAATCACACGCACATACAGTTGACATGCGAGGGAGCGGTGCTTTTCGGTTTGACATAGTGACTATTGTTCCCCCTTAGAAGATAGGACTGAAAACCAGTGTCATCTTGAAAAACAGATTAAATATTGTCTGTTGTCTGTTATTGTCTTGGAACCGTACTGATGTATCCGATACGATCAAGAAGCCTGAAGGATTTCAAGGTATACACACTTACATGGGAAACGTGGACGACTCAAACGATGGATCCACATAATCGCGTGCAGCTTTGGCCCTCAGTTTCATAACATATGAGGTTTACATACATATAGAAGTATATAT